AGCCACAGGAAAACTCTCTGATGTTGCTGGCAGGAGTGTGAAATAGAACGGCCTTTTTGGAGAAAAGCATTGATAGTTTCTAGGAAATTGAAACCTATACCTACCCTGCAACCCCCAAATCCCACTCTGAATGAGGGAAATGAAAATACATGTCTACACACAGACTTGAATATTCACAGAGATCTAATTCATAATGACCTTAATTAAGAAATACACTACATGCCCGCCCACAGGAGGACAGACAAATCTCCTGGACCCCCACAGGGGACTGCTAGACGGACCTGAAAAAGAAGCACACCGCCCCCATCCCCGTGTGTGCCGACATGAAGAACCTCACAGACACGCTGGTGAAAGAAGCCGAGTCAAGACGAACACCCCATGGGGTTTTACTGATGCAAGCTTTAAGAGTAAGTGGAAATGATCCCCAGTGATATAAGTCAAAACAGTGGGTGCCTCTGGGTTCCACAGAAAAGGGGCAGAATACGGCCCCCCAGGGACCCGGAAACATGTGTGTAGTCACACAGGCATAAACAGAGGGAAAAGTTTATCCGCTGTGCACTTCAGATTTGCTCACTTTATGATACCATTTTACTCAATGGGGGAGAGAGAGAGAGAGTGCATGTGAGAGATGTGGTGGCGGGGGACATTCCTCCATCACGGGAGTGTTCTGAGGATAAGGCTAAAGGAGAGGATGTGCAGTTGCTGGTGGATTCACAAACAGTGATCACTGTGGGTAGTCAGGCTCCTTGCAAGCTCTTGGGCTGTGGTTTCTTGCTCTGTAAAGGGGGAACAAGGAAGGCTCATGGCTCACTCACAGGGATGAGGCTGCAAAGGTGCCCAGAACAGGGTCTGCCACTGGGTGGCCGGGACAGGGGTGGTCTCTGTCTGCCCTAGGAGAACAGTATTCCCTGTAGGGAATACTACACAGCCATGAAAAAGGTTTGAAAGTTTACCCTAAAGTGCTCCCCTTCCCCAGCCGCCTCCACAGATGTGGTAGACATCAATCCATCAAGCTTAATGAGGTCGCTAACACCCCCCGATATGTGGGAGCTCTGTGTGCCCTGGGTCACAGAGAGGCCCAGGGAGGCTCACATAGCCACAACCAAAGGCTCTAACAGTGAGGACAGCCCAAGGTCCCAGCATCCTGTGTCAACTGCAGGAAGCACAGATCATGGGCCTCGAAGAAGTGAGGGGGTGGGATGGGGGTGGGCAGTGAGGCTCAAGTCCAGATGAGAGACCCTAAATCCTGGGCTTATCCCACCGCAGCAGCGGTAACCCTGGAAATGCACTTCATACAAAAGGACACGTACCAGCTCTGGGGCTCTGGGGAGGAGTTCTGGGCCTCAGTTTCCCTCCTCTGGAGGAACCCAAGCTTTTGTGAGGGCAGGGGTTTCTGTGTTGTTCTCCTGTGGCAGAGCCATTCAACACAGTATGTGGCACATAGGTGCTCAGGAAATAGTTCTTACACAGGAAGTCGATGATTCTGGGAGCGCACATAGCATTCAAGGGTGGCTGGCCAGGCCCCCTCCCACTTTACCCCTGCACATGGAGCTTGTGCTTCTGTCTGTGGGCCTCCTCCACAGCGCCTCCTCCTGGCCACCCCTTTCCTGTCTGTGTGCTCCATGCATTGCTCTCGGCCAAAACTTTCACACCTGGGAGGAAAGTCACAGCCTTCTCTTTTCTGATCTCTGATTCAGAGATAATAAGGCCACTCCAAAGACCAGGTGTGGACCAACACCAGTTCATGGGTTAAATCTGACTGCCATCTGTTTTTGCAAATAAAGTTTTATTTGAACACAGTTACTCTCCTTTGTCTATGGCTGTTTACACACTACACCAGAGTTGAAAGGCTGCTGCTGAAATTGACCTGCAAAGCCTAAAATATCTACTACCCGGCTCTTTGCAGAGAAAGTTTGCTAAACTCTGACACAGATTAAGTGCAGATTTTACACATAATCTTTTGTTGCATCTTCACAAGAGCTCTATAGGAGCTGGGGAACCACTTTTATGCCCATTTTATGGATGTGGAAACTGAGGCTCAGGGATGAAGGGTCTTGCCCAAGGTTGGGTATCCAGTAGGTGGCAGTACTGGGATTTGAATCCACCAATGTCCCAGAGTCCAGGAACAGACTAATCATTAATACAAACAGGATGAGATGGTTGGATGGCATCACTGACTCAACGAGTTGGAGCAAACTCAGGGAGATAGTGAAGGACAGGGAAGCCTGGTGTGCTGCAGTTCATGGGCTCGTAAAGAGTCAAGACACGACTTAGTGACTGAACAAAAAGCAGATCAACACAATGAATCTAGTTCGCAAGATGCAAGGAGGTTCCACAAGCCCAAGAGAAGTTCTGCAGATGAGGGTAAGCGAGGCCAGAGCAGCCCAGAAGGCCCTCGGAAGCAACAGGGTCCGCGCTGAGTCGTTCAGGGAGAGGAGGGCTAGCCGGATGGCGGAGGAAATCCGGACGGGTGGGCCAGCGAACTGGGACAAGGCAGGGGCATGAGCCAGCTGGGGCAGCTTGGCCCAGAGCCGGGGTGCTGGGGACTACAGAAAGACACTCTTGAAACGATGCTTATTTGTCTGCCGGGCCCCAAAAGGCTGCCAAGTCCACAGGAGGAGAGACATGCTGCAGGAAATTCCGTACCTAGGCATTGCGAGGGTTCTGAATTTCCTAAAAAGGGCAGAAGTGAAAGCTGGGTACCCTTCGGCAGGGCGGGTTATAAGCAAGGTTTTCCCTGTGGCCAAAATGTTGGTGAAAACTCCCCCAAGGGCATGAGCCATGTGGACTTGGGTGAGCAAGTGAACTCCGTGACTTGACTTTCTCAGCTGTAAAATGGGGAACGCCATGGGCTGGTGGAAAAGGTAGAGGCACTGATATTTGCAAGGCACACCAAGCCGCCTGGCACAGAGTGAGTGCTGTAGAAAGGTTCGCTAGGTAAACACAGGACATAAAGAAGATCTGGCTTCAGCAAATATCAACTCCCAATTTTTTCGCCTCCAAATGATTCACGGGCTGTTCGGAATTCACAGTGCCTGATGTGGTTAATTTAAACACTGCCGCAGAATGGCGAGCCTGAACGGCATTTCAATGAACACAAACCTTATTTTTAACAAGACACACTCTGGCACTTGCAAGAACATTTAAAAATACCTTCCCCATTCCAAAGCTGCAACCAGGTCCAGGGAGAAATCCTTTGTTTTTGGGGTCACTGTTTTCTCCAGAAGCTAGGCTCCAGAGTTGCTGTAGAAGCTGCTATGGGTATCCAGGGGGCTGAAAGTGGGAATGAGAATTTGTGGATTGTTGATCAAATATCCAAGTTGACACCCGTTGGTCTGCTTGCTCGTCTGTGGACCTGGGGGCGGGGAGGTGGTCCTCAGACAGAGATCCTGCATCTTCTTTCATTCAGCAAATACACAGAGACATCTACTTCCCTATGGACACGGGGATAGGTCCTAAGTCCTGGGGCTCACTTTCCAGTAGAGACAGATAATGAACGTGGAGATGAATAAATAAGCCAATGAGATCATTCCAAGGGATTATATGTATTTTGGAGAAAGTCAAAGGGGAAAATGGGACCCCTGTGTGCAAGGTCGGGGTGAGGGTATTAGGATAGTCGGGGAGGGCTTCTTGTAGGTGGTGATGTTTGCAATGCAAATGGAATGAGGAGGAGGAACCTGTCCTGTAAGATCTGGGGAAGAGTGATGAGGGCAGGGGGAGCATGGAGCCTGGTGATTGAAGAACCAACCGGAGGGTGGGGTGCTGGAGTGTGATGGGCTACGAAGAGAGCAGCTGCGATGCAGGGACCCACATGAAGGGCTCATGGTTATAAATGCTGCATGGTCAGCACTAGGGTGGGACAGCGGCTCAGGAGTGGTGGGGAAGCTGCCGCACAGCCCACTGCCTTCCTATGAACGGTGCCCCTCACATCACTTAACCTGGCACTTCTCTCAGGCCACCGTGCCAGGCACACGGTAGATGTTTCATAAATGTTTAACGAATAGTCGTAAAAACCAGCTTTACTTTGGTCTGTGACAGGCTCCCAGTCTCCAGCAAACCTGCTTGCTTTCAAACGAAGCGCATGCATTACCTATTTTCTTCTTTTTCAGAAGGTTCTCGTGTGTTTCTTCTCATCACCTTGGTTCACCAGACTACTGGACGAAGACTACTGGACCAGACTACTGGACCAAAGGATATCAAGACTGTGGGGCGTCTTGAAGCCCCACAGGAAGGGGGGACATCTCGGTCCCGTCACTCACAGCCCCATGGCTGAGAGGACTGCAGTTTGATCGATGCTTGGGGTTGCAACGAAACACCAACGTGCAGATGCTCAAGAACAACACATAGAGGAGCGTCTGCCCATCTGCCCACTAATGAGCCATTTCCTTCGGCGCCTCCTGGACTGCCACAGCAATGCCAAGGGCGTGCTGGGTCTGCACCACAGCACGTCCAGAAGGCCGCCTGAGGGAGACCGTGATTCCTTGACCCTCTTTATTCCCAGTCTGAGCATATTCAATTCTCTGCAGTGAGAGATTCTGCGACTGTAAGCTCCTGTTCCACCTCTTATCCAGGCATTTCTTTTCTTTCTTCCTTTTTAAGAAAAAATATTTATTGTGCTGGGTCTTTGTTGTAGCATGTGGGATCTTTAGCTGTGGCATGTGGGATCTAGTTCCCTGACCTGGGTTTGAACCTGGGCCCCCTGCACTGGGAGCAAGGAGTCTTAGCCACTGGACTGCCACGGAAGTCCCCAGGCATTTCTCACTGCAGGTGACGGACTACAAAAGATACAAGTTGTGTTCATCGTGTTTCATGAACAGTGTCAGGCAGCTTTGCAAACGCGACCTCATCAAATCCCCGCTGTGAGGGAACCCCATCTACAGATGAGGAAAACCGAGGCCGGAGGAAGCTATAGGAGGAACAGGATTTGTCTCTGGTGGCGTTCAGATCCACCTGGGTCTTCTGTCTCCACTCTGAGGGGCCACGAGTGTGAAAGCAGAGTGTCACGTCATGAGCTGGGCGGGGGCCACGAGGGTCACCGAGCCTCGGTTGCCAGCAGCCCCTCCACACTGACTGGAAACGCGCAGAGCACCTGGGGCTGGGGCCCCGAGGGCAGCTGCTCGGGGAGTCCAAGTCAGCATGCCCCGGGCTGAGCCATGCTGCTGCTTGCTGGGCCCTGGAGACACGGCAGCAAACTGGACAGATTCGGCCATGGCCCTCCTGCAGGGGACGGGACGGCTGGCTGGCAGCCACAGGGGCTTGCTGCGAAGTGAGCTGTGAGCTTGGCATTGAGGGAAAAGCAGGCCCTGGTCAGGTGGAGATGGTGAGAGGAGGCAGTGGGGAGGAGGGGTCCGCAGATAGAGGGGAACAGAGGCTACTATGGGGAGATGGGAGAGGACGGGGAGCCCACAGGCAGGGGTGAGGCCTGGCCTGGCATTTCCTCCGAGAGGTCTGATGGCTGGAGGAGGTCCCGCAAGACAGGAGGGTGTGTCTAGGGATCCAGCTCACCCACTGGACTGGGAGGTTTGAATTCAGACAGGGCTTTCCCTAGCAACTTTTCTTGCTCCCCTTCTGCTGGTCTGATAGAGCCTGAAAGTGAAAGTGAAAGCCGCTCAGTCGGGTCGACTCTTTGTGACCCCATGGACTATACAGTGCATAGAATTCTCCAGGCCAGAACACTGGAGTGGGTAGCCTTTCCCTTCTCCAGGGGATCTTCCCAACTCAGGGATTGAACCCAGGTCTCCCGCATTGCAGGCGGATTCTTTACCAGCTGAGCCACAAGGGAAGCCCCTGAGAGAGCTTACAGGGTTACAGATGGGGGGCTCCTCAAGTGACCCCTGGATCTCTATGGGCTTCCTGATATGTGAGACCTTGTGTACCCAGTGGAATCAGCAAATACCACAGAGCCAGAGGCACACGGATCCAAGCCCTGAAAAACCGTGTAGAGTCAAGCTGGCCACTCTCTCCAGAAAGAAGGTGACGTTTAGCTCGTGGCTGATACTCACATGATGCTCTCACAACCATGGTTTCCAGAGGCTATGCTTCCTAAACATTTTGCCTTAACCCCCATCAATTACTTCCTACTGCTGGGTGATCCTAAGGCTCTAACTTTCCATTCCATCGCTTCCCAGCACTCACCCCTGATTCCACACATACCATCCACACGCCTGCTTGGCATCAAGGCTGGGACAAGTAACACGCATGCCAAAACGACCCCACCCCACCAGCCCTTCTCCTCTGGGCTCCCTGCCGGGGCAGACAGCCACAGGCACCTTCCCAGGTGCTCAGCAGAAAACCAGGAAGCCTTGACTCCTTGAAAACCATCCTTGACTCCTCTCATTCTCTCAGCGTTTGTACCCGATCCCTTGGCAAGTCCCAATGGTGCCATCTCCAAATGTATCCCAAATCAGAGTCTTCCCGCCTTCTCCCAGCCACATCCAGGTCCAAGCCACCATTGTCTATTGCAACTCCCTCCAGCCTTCAAACCCAGCCGGCTGCAGCAGCCAGAACAGCCAGAACGGGTCTTTTCAAAGCACAGATTATATCATGCTATTCCCCTGCTCATATCTCTCCAATGCTTTGCACTATAATTAGAATCCAGCACAAGATCCATTCCGTGGCCTGCAAGATCCTTCCTGGTCTGGCTCTTCTCACCTCTCCAGCTTCTTCTTTGCCTCTCCTCCTCAGTCACTCTTTACATCTGCCTTCTTTCCCCCTCACCAGCACACAGCTTTGCTATGACAAACAGACAGCATATTAAAAAGCAGAGACATTTCTTTGCCCACAAAGGTCCATATAGTCAAAGCTGAGGTTTTTCCAGTAGTCATGTATGGATGTGAGAGTTGGATCATAAACAAGGCTGAGAGCCAAAGAATTGATGCTTTTGAACTGTGGTGCTGGAGAAGACTCTTGAGCATCCTGTAGACTGCAAGGAGGTAAAACCAGTTAATCCTCAAGGAAATCAACCCTCAGTATTCATTGGAAGGACTGATGCTGAAGCTCCAATACTCTGGCCACCTAATGTGAAAAGACCCTGATGCTGGGAAAGATTGAGGGCAGTAGGAGAAAGCAGCAACAGAAGATGAGATGGTTGGATGGCATCACTAACTCAGTGGACATGAGTTTGAGCAAGATCTGGAGATAGTGAAGGACAGGGGAGCCTGGCACGCTGCCGTCCGCGGGGTTGCAAAAAGTCGGACATGAGTTAGCGACTGAACAACAGCAGACAACAGGATCTTTGCACTTGCTGTTCCCTCTGCCTGGACTGCTTTCTCCAGATGTGCCTGTCTCCCTCCCAGGATTCTGATCCAATGCCAACGTTCCTCTTCACAGAGGCCTTCCCTCACTGCCTTGCCTGAGGCTGCCTCCCCATCACCTTCTATCACATCACTCTCAAATCTGGCTTCTCTATTTGTTTATGCATCTAACGCCTCTGTACTGTCAAAACAGTGTAAGCTCCATGAGAACACATCTTTTCCGTCCTCTCTGTTTAGTTTGCCGGGGTACCTCCAGCATCTAAAAGTGTACCCAGAAAATATCAGGTACCCAGTGAACACCTGCCGACTCACTGTCTCCCTCGGCACCTTCACTCAGACTGTTTCCTCCTCTGCAGGGCTTTTCCCTTTGCAGTTCTCTTTATTAGCCCGAGACATGTTGAAAGAAGACAAACGGTGGCACTTGCACTTCTGCTCAAAACCACGGCATCATCGCCTTTGCTCAGGGATGTCTGTATGCTGCCGTTATTCAAAGAGTGGTGTTGGAGAATTTGTTTGGCTCACATCTGCAAACTTTGGCCCCTTAACTCATGTTACCAGTAAGAACATGAGAAGGATGCTGGGAACAGAGGGAGGAAGGGCACCTCCATGTGCCAGGATGCACATCAGAGCTTCCCTAGTATTATCTCACCAGAGTCTCCATCACCCCAGGGCACGGGTGTTATCACTGCCATTTTACAGATGAGGAAGCTGAGGCTCAGAGAGTTTAAGCAACCTGCCCAAGGTCACACAGTTGACAGGCAGTGGGACTGGAACTCTAGACTGCCTCCCCAGGGAAAGAACCTCTGTGGGTCCTTGAGAGAATCTTGTCCCCACCTTCCAAGGTCCAGTCTTTAAGTAACTGCATTCTTCCCATCCTTCGCAGAGGAAGAAAATACCATCAGCCTCTCCTCAGAGGTGTCAGAGGGAGCATCTTGATGGATTGCACTTCCAAAATAAGAAGTCCTGCCATTTCTCCGAGTGTGATGGAGACCTTCCAGAGAAGAAGTGGAACTTCTGCTTTAAACACATAAGAGGTCCACACTGGGTCCATATATCATGTCCTGCTCCCTGGCTCCACTCAGGTCCCTGTTCAAAAGTCACAACCTCTTGAGAGGTCTCCTCCTATCAGCTCTTCATCACGCCCTGTCCCTGCCCTGCCTTACCTCTGCTCATCCCACCTGTCAACACCAGCTATTCTGTTGTATTATAAATATCACATATTTGTATGTTAAGTCCTTAATTGTTTTCTTCTGCTGGAACACAAGCTCCAAGAGAGCAATTTTATCTGGGTGTTTTTTTTCTCCACTGTTGTACCCCACTTACTAGAACCACGCCTGCCATATACCAGGGGACCAATAAGCATTGTTTAAACGAATGAATGAGTTTAATTACTATATGATTCAGTACACATGTTACGCCTTTCTGACATTATCCTGCTTTTTCTTCCTTAAGTAAAGTTTTCATCATACAAGCTCTGCAAATCCAGACTGGGAGATTTTTTAGAAATAATAGATAAGCTTTGCAATATCGGTTTGGTTTCTGCCATACATCAACATGAATTAGCCATATGTGCCCTCCCTCTTGAACCTTCCTCCTGCCCCCACCCTTTCCCACCCTTCTAGGTTGTTACAGAGCCCCAATTTGAGTCATGCAGCAAATTTCCATTGCCTATCTGTTTTACATATGGTAGTGTATAAGCTTACATGCTACTCTCTCCATTCATCTCACCCTCTCCTTCCTCCACCCCCCTGCCCTCATCAATTATCTTTCAATTAAAAACAAATAAGTTAAAAAACACTACCAAGAAAGAAAGAAAATAGCTTGACAGTATTATGAAGGATCTTAAAGAAATCAATAAAAATGCAGACAAGCAAAGAGGAAAGCGGGACTCTTCGGTAACCCCACCACGTCACTGGTACATTTAGGAGCACTCTCTGCATCCAAAGATGACATATTGCAGGTTCCCTGCTTTCCAGGTGCTGTGTGAGGCACTGGACTCCCACGAGGCCCTGGACTAGGGCAGGAATCCTCAGCCATGGCACCGTGGACATTTGAGCTGCGTAATTCTCTGTCGTGGCTGTTGCCACGTGACTTGGTCTCTAGCCACAGGATGCCAGAAGCTCCTCGCCAGTCATGACAATCAAAAATGTCTCTAGAACTTACCAAATACCCCTGGGGCAGGAGGTAAAGTATGCAAAAACCACCCGACTGAGACCTGACCGTCTAGAGGAGGAGACAGATGTTTCAAAAGGATTACACTGTACCTTGCCTTGAGTGCCTAAGAGTGCTCTTTCATCAATATTTGTGAACCAACGTCCAAGTCCTGAGACACACTTCTGACGACTGTGTGGCCCCACTTCTGACAATCTACACTACCACCCCCACTGCTGGATACTTAGGTGTGCCCCTGACTCTTGATTCAATGGCAGAGCCCAGAAGAACAGAGTTAGCCCCCTGCCTAACTCTGGACAGCCTCACCCAGCCTAACAGCCACGCGTGCCACCATGGAGGAAATGGTCTCAGGCCCTGTGTCTCTTGGCTACACTGGGCACCAAGCCCCCAAAGCCTCTTCCGGAGCCCCCTCATCACATCTACTCATTCCCTGCCCTACAGAAGGAACAGGACAATGGAACCTGAAAAGGAACCTGAAAATTAAATACCTTGATACAGACCCCCCTTTAATGTGAATTCTGTGGCCACAGGTGGGAAGCAAATAAAGGTCACCACTGCTGTCTGTCTGCGTTGACAGGTTCCCACCGTGACTGCCATCTGTGACTCATGAAGCGAGACTTTGTGACCTAAGCATGCAGTTGGCACCGTTTTCTGAGGGCCATGGTGAGAGTCAAGTGAGACGGAGGCAGGAGAGAAAGGGGCTGCGAGGCACTACTCTCACCCAGCACAAGTGCTTCTTCTGAGGCCTCTCTGCTGAGCAACGCACTGTGTTACCTCACTGAATCTCTGCCTCAATCTTTAGAGGGACAGATGCTTCAGCTTTTATGTCCGAAGCTTCCCTGGCGGATCAGATGGTAAAGAATCTACCAGTAATGCAGGATTCCTGGCTTCGATCCCTGGGTTGTGAAGATCCCCTGAAGAAAGGCATGGCAACCCGCTCCAGTATTCTTACCTGGAGAATCCCACAGACCGAGGAGACTGGCAGGCTACAGTCCATGGGGTTGTGAAGAGCTGGACACAACTGAGCAACTAACAATTTACAGACAAAGTGAGGCTCAGAGAGGTTAAGTGCTGTAAATAACTATTAAGGAGGGGGGAAAAAAGGACCCAACAGGAAATAACCTCCTTTTTCACACTCCAGTGCAGTCAGATTCCCTTGCCAGCGGCTGGCAGTACCTCGTGAGCCTGTGTATTAATATTAGGAAGGACTGAGAGACAGTAGCAAGTTTCCCAGATCCTGGCGAGTCTCCTGGACACGAGCTGGGGCAGCAGGGGAGGAAACAAAGCCCACAGACCTGGGAGGGGACCCTGGGCCTGGCAGTGAGAGGCCCGATCTTGGGAGGACCTGGGGGTTGGCACAGTTCAGGTGGGCCCCGTAGAGGGTCCAGCTGACAGAGCCGTCCACGCCTGGCCTGGTCTTCTTGCCCTCTAGCTCCATCTTCCCAGTGGCTCCCTCTCTAGGGGCCGAGAGTGGCCAGGGAGGCTGCTGGAATCCAGGGAAGGACTGAGGTTCCTCGGGTGGGTCTCAGCCTTGCAGCGGGACCTCATACACCACCTGCCTCACCCTTCTGCTGGGTCTGTCCCAGGCCTGGAGATACAGACAGGACCAGGATGCAGCCCCTCAGAGGGCTCACAGACCATCAGAGGAGGCAGCAAGGGCAAGAAATGACTGCTGGGGAGGGCAGAGGGAGAGGTGAGTCTGGGACTGAACCCGTTTTCCTGTGGTGTGAGCGAGTGTCGATACTGTCCCCACATCGGGGCAGAACCTCTCAGGTTGGCCGAGCTTTGGAACACACGGTGGAATTTCCACACCCTGGGCCAGCTCTTGTCCTGCGGGACCTTGGAGACTCCTCTGGGCCTCAGTCTCCAAACCTGCAGAATGCCCAGCATTTGATGAGATACTGTGCATCAAGCACCTAGCTCAGTGCCTAGCACTTAGGAGGTACTTGATAAGGCCCCCAGTACTTATCAGTGGCTAAAAATAAGCAAAGAAATAAACAACGACAAATACCAAGTGCTGGTGAGGATGGAGAGCAACTGGAGCTCACGTCCATTGCTGGTAGGGGTACATAATGCTGAAGAGTTCCTTACAAATTAAACAGAAATCTATCACACAATCCAGAAATCCCACTTCCAGGTATTAATCCCAGAAAAACTTACATTTATGCAAAAATAAATTGACTTTATTTATAACAACCAAAGCCTGCAGACAGCCTGAATGCCTCTCAAGGGACGACTGAGTGACTGGATAAACAGTGTGTCCTGATGATGGGGTACCACTCAGCATGGGGAAAGAACGAACCGCTGACGGAAATGACAGAGTCACGATCACTCAGTGGAGCGGGAGAAGCCAGGGTCAAAGGTTGAGTACTGTATGATTCCGTCACACACTGTTACAGAAAAGGCGCATCTACAGTTTGGTGGTTGCTGGGGGGGGGGGGCAGGGAAGAGGCTGACTACTGAGTGACAGGGGAATTCTGGGGTGAGGGAAGTCCTCTGTGCCGAGGTGGCTACGCAACTGTATGCATTTGTCAAACTCGCAGAACTGTACACTAAAACAGGGGAATTTTACTGCATGAAAACTATACCTTAATGCTTAAAAATCAGGAAAAAAAAAAAAAACCCTTCTAGAATGATATTAGCCTGCTGTAGGCTCTAGGACCACCCCTGGACTAATTCTTCCTCCCCTGGACCACCCAGAGCTGGTGGGTTCTGGCTGCTTCCTGCCTGGAAGCCCAATCTTCCCCACCCCGAGGTGGAGAGAGATTCGCTCCCCCCATCCTTACTGAGCCTGGGACTTCTCCCAGCAGCCGCCCCGGCCCCTGGGAGCAGTGGGTCCTGCAGGTTCTCCTGTGTGCAGCCCTGATGCTGCCTCCTCCGCTGTGGGACCAGTGAGGCTGAGGAAGAGGTGGCTGTGCTCACAGTCCTGCCCTCACGAGAGAGGGGCGTCTGAAGCATGTGTGTGCACCTGCCTTGGACTCCGGGACTGGGGACCAGGTTTCAAAGACCAGCTGGCCATGCCCAGTGACTCTAAGGCTCAGCTGCTGGGCTCCCTCCCACCTGGTCTCCGCACTTCACAAGCTGTGACGCAGTGACACCGGCCAAGAAGGGCTTCTTGCTGAAGGGTCAAAAGCGCTTTGCTATCCCTGGTGACTGTCCTCAGCAGACAGCTCAGCTCTGGGAGGCAGTGAGGAGCAGACAGAGTCCCCTTCACTGGAATTCCTCCAACCCTCCTCAGCAGGTCTTCTCAAGCAGTCTTTCCCTCCCCATGGCAGGCATGACCACGCTGCCCCCCCTGTTCAAAGTTCTCCAGTGGCCTCACTGATTTCAGGATAAGGTGCAAACACGCTAGCTAAGCCCCAAGGCCTCTGTGACCAGGGGCCACTGACAGTGAGCCTCACACAAGAGCTAGCCTCCATGGGTACCCCTGCTCTCCTCTCCTCTGAATCATCCTCTTGTCCCTCCTTTACTGGATCATCTCCATCATGTTCTTGAGCATGCCATACTCCAGCCCATCTTAAACACATACTCTCTCTTGATCTCAGGCTTCTCCTGCTCCACTTCTGTTTTCCTTGATTCCTACAATCCCTTTCTACAAGGCTTATTCTGAAGGGGATGAAGGGCAGAATATCAACACTGTAATAATCTTCACAGCTTAAATTTTGCAAAAGCACTTTATACATGAAGGCAGTACTATTCCAGATGAGGACGCTGAGGTATGCACTGGCGAAATCCAGGTAACTAGGGTGATAGACATCCATGTTTCCTGACTCTGAATTCCATGGCACCTTCCTCAGCCCTAAGATCAGGACAGATCAGAACTTCAATTCCCAAGGTGAGGGGTAACTGGAATAACGGGCACCAAGTTCCAGAAGATGAGTCAGCACAAGAGGTTAACTGTGAGCAGAAGGCAGATCTGAGAACCTCAACTTGGAGAAGGAGACTTGAAGGCCAAGTTTGCACTGATCCAAGGCTCAACCAGGAGCGAGACTGGGAAGAAGAGAGAACTCACACTGAGAACAATCACGGCCAGGACTTCACCTTTCTCTTTCTTCATCTTCCATAGATACCCTGTGGTTCTGATGTCACTATCAGCCCTGATTTACAGCTTAGGAAACTGGGCTCAGAGAGGTGAATACTTCTGCCACCCAGCTGGTTTGTGTCACTGCAACAGTAGCAGGAGGGAGGGAAAAGGATGGGAGGAGATGCATCAAGATTAATCAATGGTTAAGAAAAAGATTACTCAATGGTTGGTAATTACTGCCACTAGGTAACAAGGATATGTAGCTTTGTCATTCTATACTACTTTTTGACATGATCGAAATTCTCCAAAATTAAAAGTTAAACATCAAGTTGCCCAGAAAAGTGGTGGAGCAGACATCTGGGTGAGGTAATTTTCTTTCTGCCCACAGGGACTCTGCCCACCCCAGCTTCATACTTTTCCATTGGAAAAGTTTCAGGCACTCAAAGACACATAACTTCATTCTTTTCCCCCCGTGAATATGGAAACTCTAGAGACAAACCTTATGAACATTTTTGTTCCCACACACCAAGGGTTCTATGCCTTCTGAGAATAGATCTTTTTCTTGGGGGTCATGACCACATAACTCTGACAGTCGCATGCCACAGATGCCACCTAACAGTGGTGGTTCCCCACAGTGGTTATATCGGCTCAACTCAAAAACATCCATTTTCATCTCACCCTGTCACACTACAGCATGACCATCTGCTTCCATTTACTGCCTGCCCCCTTTTAATGGAGTGCAGGGAAACAAAATAAACTTGCTGTTAGGTTAGAGATGAACTTCAAATTAAATTCTATTTTCAAAAGGAGAGGAAGGTCACCTGAAAATTCTATCCAAATCCACAAGCCTTTGTTTGGTACTTATTAAATTCTAGCTATTAGGCCCTATTAAGTATGCAAGATTAGCCCTGTTTAACAGGTGAGTGCCTTAGTCACTCATACTATCAGGGAAAAACTGGAACTTATATGAGGTCTGAGGGACCTCAGAATACATATTCTTACAACCAATCCTGTGATCTACAATAGACTTCTCTGAGAGTTCACTGCCCAGGCAGAGGGACGTCTACTTAATGACCTATTAATCTGGAATTGTGTTAGGTTCTTCCAATGCTTTCGCTCATTAACTCACACAAGCCAACACAAAACAGCTACCACCACTCCCACTTTAAAGATGAGGAAATGAAGGTTTAAGTGGTTAAGGTCATCAGCTGGTTAGAGATTTTAATCCAGGTCTGCCTGACCCCAAATGTGGTTATTTTTCCCAGATACTCATTCTTGGTCCAGATGTGATAACCACAATCCATTTCTAAGACAATGCATTTTAAGTCACAGCTATAAACTTTAAGGTGACTGCAATATTCTGGGAGCGCCCGCTGGTCAGGACCCTGGAGAGCTCCAAGTGCTTCATGCTGATTGGCTCCAGGATGCTGACCTCAGTGCACTTCAAGGCTCTCATAGGTCTGCCTTGGACAGGTCCCTCCCACCGCAAGTGGGAAGCAATGCATGGTAGGGCTGGCATCTTCTAAGTGGGCCTTTAGTTACAGAGCATTGTCAGGTGTTTGGAGGCCTCTGGGGGAGCGAGGGGTGCTGCAAGTCCTCAGGGCATGAAGTAGGATGCTAGATACTCTTCTTTGATATGCTCCCCCCTCACCAAGGCTTTAGGTCTTCCAAGACCATTAAAAAAAAAAAAATCTCTAGTGGGCATCTGCTCCCCTAGATAGCAATGTATGGTCCTAATTGCTGAGAGGTGTTGCAGTGGAGAATTCTCAATGGAACCACACACGTTTCCAGCTGCATACCACCTGGCAGCCTATAAAACACTTTTTAGTGGCATTATCATTTTTCACTTTCACAATAGCCCTGTGACTCCAATATCACCCCTCTGCTCAAATAAGGAACCAGAGGCTCAGATATAGTAGTAGATGACCTGCCAAAGGTCACACAGCTAGGAAATCCAGAGTGAACCTTGAGCCCTGTGATCATTACACCAAGTTGCCATAACTCATTTAAAAAGACCCTGTAACCTTCCATTAAGAGTATTACCTTCATCAAAATTGTTTGCCAGATGTATGAAAATTTTGTGAGAATAAAACGGTAAATGTGGCCATAATCCATCATCTTTCCTGAATTCACACATCACTTGTTAATCAACAGAGCATGCAGACTGCTTAACAGAATGAAAGCCAAGCTCTCTGCATGGCCGACAAGATTCTACACGAACTGGCTTATGCCAAGCTCTCTGACATCATCTCCCACTGCTGTCCTCCTCCTTGCCACTCCTTGAACTCACCAGCTTGTTCCCAACTTGGCATTTTTTGCATTGACCATACCCTCTGCCTGAAATGCATTTTCCTCAGATAGCTGCATAGCTATCTGCTTGTCACTCCCCTCTCAGCTGACAGGCCCCCTCTTTA